ACTGAAGCGTCTACTACAACACAGCCTTCAACTACCACTGAAGCGTCTACTATAACACAGCCTTCAACCACAACTAGTAAGTTTCCTTAAATCAATGCTTGCTATGGCATTCAAACGAAATCTTCTATAGTACATCTAATGAGCTTGTTTACAAAAAAACAAAAACAAAACAAAACATAAAAAAAACCTTTATAACTAAATGAAAAAAGTAGTAAAAGGCTACATCATCGAAGGTAAGACGAAAGGCATCATGGGATCGAAATATTACGAGACAACAACCCCGTCCCCTATGAGAGTAGATCCAGCTCATTTTAAGATTCTTCAGGAATTCCCGGAGATCGTAAACAAAAGAAAGCGGCCATTAGAAGACTTTTAAAACATCGAATGTTATCGCTAAATATATCGGACACGTTTATATACTTACACTGACTTCAAATCATGCATGAGATAGAAGGGACCTTGAAAGACAAGGAATATTGTTGCTTTTTGATCAACTAAGCATATCTCAAACTTCGGAATTAATTGAATAAAAATCATTAAACGCATCGTAACGACAAATAAATAACCGATCATAGAACTAAAAGTTATCCGGCATGAATACTACGCTAATTATGGTATTTCAAAGTATGAAAATGCAATACTGTTAGAGCAATCCGCATTAGCAATGACATTTTCATGTCCTACTTAGCCATTTTGCCAATACTTTGAGTGTCGCTGCATATGTCATATTGCGACAACCGCGTCCGGTGTGAATACAATACAATACAAACTTTATTGGTACTCCTTAAAAAAGGCTTTTTAGTAACAATGTAATAGTATAAATGATATATATTTATGTATACAGAGAGAGCAGTCGACCCCTCTATCTTAAAGTGTAAACAAACTCCAAATTTTTCAAATTCTAGTACAAACAATCATATCAAAACAGTTTCTTGAAGAAAAAAACTTTTTTATAGGATGAATTCCCGATTTTAAAGAAAAAAAAAACGAGCTTTTAACCGATTTCCGATGAAATCACCATGATGATTTCCCTCAACTTTGGATAAAATGGAGTTCATTTGCACTTTTGATAAAAGGATCATAGATTTATCAGTTTTATTTGTTCTTCTTAGTGTTGAAAAAACTGAGTCTGCCTTTCGTTACAATGAGCCAGATCATATTTTTTTTTCATTTCTTACTTAAAGAAATACTACCAGAGATGTCACATTATCACATGGATCCGGAGATGGGAAATATTCACGCCATCAAAATCCCGCATGAAGAAGATATAGGAAGCTTTCGTTCTTATTCCAAAACTAGACAAGCGAAAACGGCTTTTAATCATGGGGTAAAGTTTTACAGGAATAGAGACTTTCCCGCGGCAATTAAACACTTCGAAGACTATAGAGACATTGCTACAAAAACCAGTAACGAAGAACAGAAACAGCTAGCTTGTACAAACCTAGGCTGCTCCTATTATGGATTAGGCAAGTATGAGAAGGCGATCGAATACCACAAAATAAGCTTGAAAATTGCCAAACAAAGAGCTGACAAATTTGGAGAAAGATGTGCTTACACAAATCTGGGTGTGGCTCATGAGCAGTTAGCCAGACTCAAAGAGGCACTTGAGTACCACGAAGAAAGTCTTCGAATCGTAAAAGATATTGGCGACAAAAAAGGAGAAGGAATGTGCTATTGTGACATATCCAATGTGCTTTTTAAAATGGGAAATCTACAAAAGGCGTTTGAATATGCCCAAGATGCTTTAGACATCGCTGTAGAGATAGGTGATATACGTGGAGAAGGGAGGGCCCTTGGAAGCCTTGGAAATGCCAGCAATATGCTTGGAAAACCAGAAGATGCTGAAAAAAAATTGTTGCGGCAATTGCACATCGCATGGGAGCTAAGCGATTCATATAGTGAAATAGCGGCTTACAGAGATTTAGCCGGTTCTCATTTTACACGGGGTAAACCACGCTTCGAAAGGACCAACCACAAGCTTTTGGAGATTTCTAAAAACAAACATATAAAAGCCGAAGCTACTTCCAACCTAGGAAGTAATTGTCTATCATATGGGCAGTTCAACAAAGCTATTGAGCATCAACAGAGGGCCTTAGCTGCTGCTAAAGAGCTTGGAGACAGACGCTTAGAAGGAACTGTGAAGAGAAACTTTGGCATGTGTTATCAACACGTAGGAAAACATACTGCAGCTAAATCATACTTTACCGAATTTTTACAAATCGCCAAGGAAATTGAAGATAAAATAGCAGAAGCAGACGCCCACCAGAGGTTAGGAGATATTTGTTATATTCAAGGGAAAGAAGATGAAGCGATCAAACACTACGAATCAAGTTTAAAAATTGCGGAATCGACAGGCTGCAAACAACAAGAAGCAAGAGCGTTTGGAGGCTTGGGAAAATGCTACGAAAGAAAAGAAAAATACGAAGACGCTATGAAGAATCATGAAAAAGATCTAGAAATTTCTTTAGAGATCAAAGATAAAGTCGGAGAAAGCAGAGCTCGTCAGAATAAAGGTGATGTATTCCTTTTCGGGAAGAAATACGATAAAGCACAAAAACAGTTTCAAAGAAGTTTACAAATCGCAAAAGAACTAGATGACAAGCAAGGAGAAGCCGTTACCTGTTTAACCTTAGGTATTTGTTGCCATCACTTGAGCATGCAGTTTAAAGAAGCGGTCGATGAAGCAAACGCTCTTGCTGCTATGAAACAATCAGAGGATTATTTCCTGGAGAGCATCAAATGCAATGAGTGGTTGTTTCACAATTTAGGAGAAGAATTTGAAGATGCATTCAAAGTCTCTATTGTGGACACATATATCCATACTTACCAATTGCTCATCGGAAAATACATCGCAACAGACGAAACAGGCCCGGAGGAAACGCTTCTTGTATCTGAGAAGACCCGCGGACGAGCACTGGAAGACTTACTAAAACAAAAGTACGGACTGCAAAGGAATCCTTCTAAAGATTTTCTTTTTCCCTCCGACATCAAGGGTGAAGTTTTGCTACCTCAATCCTCATGCCTTCTGTTTTATTCCAAGTTTTTGATTCCTCGCAGCAAACCGGGTGATATTATATCAGGAATCGGAACATGGGTTCTGGATTCGGAGAGGAAAACCCACTTCGATGGGAAGAAAATAACAGAATTGAGTCTTGCGGATGATAAAGACAGCACATTAGACACTCTCGTTGACAAAGCGTACAAGACCATGTCTGTTAGAGGAGCGACAGAATGCGAAGATAGATCGATGGGCAGAAACGCATACGATTTCAAAGAAGAAGAAATAGAAGAAGATTACCTTGAGGTTCTTTATGATGCTCTGATAACTCCCGTCGAGGATAAGCTGACAGGAGATGAAATCATCATCATTCCAGATGGACCGCTGTTCAAAGTTCCATTTTCAGCCTTACGTAATCCACGAACGAACAATTACTTGTCAGAAAACAAGCCCATTCGACTTGCTCCGTCCCTCACGACATTGAAAATTCTGAGAGAACCCAATTCAATTAAATCTCGAGGACAAGTGAAAGGTGCTCTCATCATTGGAGATCCCGACGTCACTGGCGAAAGAATGTATAAAGGCGAAAAAAGAAATTTCGCCTCATTGCCAAATGCCAGGAAAGAAGCGAAAAGTATTGCTAAAGTTCTTGGAGTGACTCCATTGACAGGTAATATTTGCATTCCATTATTTTTCCTTATATCGTACAACTATAGTGAAGGACTGAAAAAAGAGGTCAAGGAGAGAGACGGATTCATTTTCTTCAAAAGTAATTTGAAGTAAATTTCCAGCAAAAACATTTCAGTTAGAAAACTGATCCAGACGGGACTTGCAAAATAATTTTATTATTCAAAAAGAGACATTTTATTTAAAGTGCAACTGACAACTTCCTATAGGGAATTTATATTAAAAGGATAATGTGAAGAAAACAAACTTTTGACTTGGAAATAAACAAAAAGCTACACAAGTTTCATTTTGCAGCTTACGACCCGTAGGCCTGGGCATGAGTAATGAGTTTCAAATGCTTTTAGATCAGAAGATACAAATGCAAATCAATTTTTTTATCTCAGAACTGGTAAGCAGTGTGTCCCATTTAAGTTAAAAATGCATGACTTGCGCTGTAAAAAAGTTGAAAAGTGCAATTTTTTTGCCTTTTTTCTTGAATTTGCTCATTGTTAACAATAGGCCCTCAAGCAACCAAACAGACTATCAAGACGCGACTTCGGACTAGAGATGTCGCAGTGGTTCACTTTGCTGCACATGGCGATGCAGAAAGAGGGGAGATAGTTCTCAGCCCAGACATTGATCAGCTCGAAGCTGGAAGAGTCCCAGACGAAAACGACTACTTACTGACTATCAACGAAGTGCAGGAGATTGGTCTACGCGCTAAACTAGTCGTATTGAGTTGCTGTCACAGTGGGCGTGGTGAAATCAAGTCAGAGGGTGTAGTTGGAATGAGTCGAGCTTTCTTTGCAGCGGGTGCGCTTGCTGTAGTCGCATCCCTATGGGCCGTGGATGACCTTGGCACTAGAGTCTTCATGGAAAAGTTCTATGGTCACTTGAAGCGCGGAGAGAAAGCAAGCGTAAGCCTTCAGCAAGCAATGAAGGAAATGCGTGACATAGAGCGTTACAGTAGGCCTATGTACTGGGCTCCATTCTTCTTAATCGGTGAGGACGTTACAATTGATGTATGAACCAACACTAGAGTGCACGAAAATTCATTACTATTTAGTCAATACTGTAGTTGAATCGATGGCAAATAGTCGCCTAAGAACACAGTTTTAAGTTTCCAAGAATAAGTAATTAAAAAATTACTTTTTAGTAAACAAAGTCAACAGCCAGCACGTAAATTACATCGGGAGTACATTCACATACTGTTATGTATTATGAATTAATTATTATTAAGTCAAATTGTGAAATAGTTAGATAATTTAATTTGAATTAATCAACTACTTAGTAACTTCATTTGAAATTACAAAAGCGTGCCAAAACTAAGTAACTGTCATGCAATTCAGGGTGGGCAAGAACCAATCGTCTTACAATAGTTATAGATACTGACATGTTTGTGTCTGCACTTGAACAAACTTTTACCCAAATATAAAATGTAAATAGTTTCCAAAACCCCCGTGAATTTTAGACTGCAATTTTCCAACTTATTTGAAAACTGAGCAACTTATTTCTAAAAGTGAAAAAACATATTTCTAAACTGAACAACTTATTGAAAAAGCTGTAAGACAGCGATCTAATTGACATAATGTCAACTATTTCACAATTTGACTTAATATAACTCAAAATAATATATAAGTACCAGTGGCAGTTCACGAGTAACACTACTTACTATCAGACTGACAGGGGGTTTCTATAGTCCAGCTTAGGACGATTTGGTTTGTTCGCAAGCAGTTTCCCACTAAGTTTCCTGAGTGTTTTGACGATATCTTTAAATAGATGTTTTCTTTTAAGGCATCTCGTGAATGCTTGGTAAAACACCCACTTGATCTCCCCTTCCTTTATTAGGGATCCTCTCTCTTTGCTGTTCAGTTTTCGAAACTTTCGTTTTGTAAAGGAACATATTAGCCGTGATAATTTGAGAACTACGATGTCTGAAAGGGTAAAAATATGTCAATAACAGTAAATAGACCTAATCGGCTGACGCGTTGCTATGTACGTTACCACCCAATTCAAATCCTGTGGGAAAATGAACTTTTGCTGTTGAATTCAACTGTGAAATGAAAATACAACGAACAATGAAACGTACACCCGAGTGGTTTGAATTGGGTGGAAACGTTTATAGCAACGCGTTAGCCGATTACAATCGTTGACAAAATCCTTGGACCATTCCAGCGAATTTCCTCATTTTAAGCAACACCCGCAGACAATTTCATCCCCCCTGACCCCCTAAATGCAATGCATTGATCATGTTGCCATAGTACACAAGCATCCAAAACAAGACCCAACATTGATGAAAGGGGGCTAAGTGAGGAAAATGTGTAAAAATAAAGGAGAAAAATGTTAGGCTGGAGACAAATAATTGTACGGTCCAAGCTATTTGGGCAACGATCGTAGGTCTATTGCTACATTTTATCTTTAACAGTAGAAAGAATAAAAAAAGTTGTGCTTTAATCATCAGAATAAGCTGATTTCAATAAGAGCTATAATGAACCAATAATGGTTCAATAATGTTTTAGAATATAAAGTAAGGAACATCATAAAATATTTTGTAAGCTAAACTAAGAGCTCAGTTTTAGTTGGACGAACCTTGACCAGAATTAAAGCAGAAAAGAACCTGAGATCGCTTATTGCAAATAAATGTACTGACCTTGAGGGCAATTACGGCATAACAGGTAGAACTTGCAGGCCAACCAATAAAACATCTCGTAGAGGTTTTTCTGCACAGTATCTTGACTATTGATTTGCAAGTCAAGAAGAAGAGGATGACATTTGTTTCGCGCGCTGAAACTACAAGAGAAATTTTCCAGCTCAGAATCATGTGCGATGAGAAGACAATCAAGGAAATAATGATGATCATTGAGACAAAACCATCATGACGCTTTATCGTGTTTTTTTTTTTTTAACAAGCATTCGAGAATCCTTGAGCGATTTTCTCACAAAAATGATACGAAAAATCGCCATCTTTGATTTTGAACCAATCGCATTAGTAATAAGGCCATACGCAAGAAATGATAAGAGGTTATATTTTTTTTCTGATTATAATACGTTTAGAAAATTTACAAAATGATGTCCCTCAATAAAAAGGAGAAAGATTCCCAAAACGTAACTTTTTATTTTTTCCCAAAGAATACTAACCTTAATTTGCTCAGCAGTACTTGTGAATTATTACACTGGCGCGTTTTCGGAAATATTTTCCTTGGATTAACATCTGGAATACAACAAAACAATATCAACTCAACAACAAACGTCCTCGGGAATGCAGAGCGCTCTTGTAGGGGCCATAAAATTGGGCATTTGGAAATGCAAAACAAAGAACGCATACAACTCTGAAATAAAGAAAGAAAAAGACAAAAATGTAGTGGGGGAAAGGAGTGGAATAGCTGCCAGATGGTACCTTAGATACAATGTTCACCATTCCCGGGCAGAGGCACATAATGTTAAAGCTCACGAAAACTACCTACAGGTGATTAAAATAGAAAAAAATACTAAAAACAAACCTTGATATCGCGAATAATCGAGTCCAACATCTAACATCTTAGAATGAAACAAAAACCCACACCATGGAAATCCCTGGTCCTGACTGATACATCGCACAGGGATCCCGGTCGTAGTGTTGAAATTGACAAGAGTCTTCTTGGCACTTATTTGGCAGCCATATTTAGGTATCCCAGCATGCATAGTTGACAGAAATGCATCTGCTTTTGCCTGGGTTGGTGTCATGAACAGGAAGTCATCCACCCATCGCATTAATAGCGAGGAGTCGTCTTTTGTGAAGGTTTTTAAGTATCGTTTCTCCATGTGGTTGTAAAAGTGGCTGCATAAGTAGGTTGAAAGAATTGAGCCCTGCGCAATGCCTAAAAAAGGAACCATTTTGTTTATTATTAGCGAATACTATTCTCGGGTCGTCATAGCCGCCATGGTGAATGGAAAGTTTCAGTTGCTCATTCATCCAACATGGCGTCGAGATGTTTCTCTTCTTCAGGTACTTTCTGGAATGCCTTCAATGTCTGATGATGCGCTATGAAGTACCATTAAAAGGAGCCATGCCATTAATAATTAATAATCAATAATTAGTAATGTGCTCCCGCATACACTATTATTACAATATATTGACATAAAAAATGAATAAAGCAAACTAAGGAATATGGCAAAAAAGATCATAATGATAAAAAAAAATGTTCACAAACTCTACGCTAAAGTAAGAGTGAGGAAGGATGAGTAAATATAAAGTTGGTAAACGGGAACAAAAGAAATCATGGAAGTGAACCATTCACACACCTCGATTTTGTCTGTAGAAATTACTTCCTATCATAACGATATTCCCAAAGAGATGCTTCTTCAAGGTAGCTAGAACTTGTTGAAGGTCAAGACGAGGATAGTATACTTGGTCAATGAGAATCATATTCCTAAAGCCTTTTTCCTGGAAAACAAGCAGAAATCAAATAGATTTAGATCGTGATTGTGATAGAAGCTATTGTACATCGTTCTTGTTTTTCCTCTGTTATAATTCTTCATCAAGTAATTTTTATGAAAAATGATGGATTAAAGCGTTTTCGCAGTCCATTTCCAGCTTTTTAGATCTCGGTATCTCGGTACAATTCCCTTTATAAATTATGAGTATGTAGACCGAGTAGCACTATGAAATACAAATGATAGGAAGTTATAGTGGTGGAGGAGGTTTTTCCGGGTGAAAGACCCTAGGACATTTATTTTATCATTTCTTTTCAATTATAATTTAGTCAATTTGAAATCCTACCAACACATTTATCAGTAATTAACTAATCGTTCATGATGACGATGGCAATGATCATGATAATGATGATAGTAACAGGATGATAATGATGATAATCAATTCATTTCGTATGTTACCTTGATAGTATCTTCAGCAAATTCCTTGAATGTCCTACAATCATTTCCAAGTGCAACGCTTTTCTCAAACACCTTTTTGACTTTTCCTTGGCAACTCTTAATCATGGCAAATCTACGAATGCTGTACTCCTCTTCCTTGAAGACGGCTTTCATGATATGAAAGAGTCTGTCAAGAAGGATCGAGTCAAAGCATTTGTTGATGTCCACATGGACGAAGTACAACGGCTCGTCGTGGTTTTCTCTAGTGGCAACGAACGATTTGATTCTTTTATAGACATCATCTACGCCAAACATTGTCGAATCAGACCTCGCAGGCTTTCTTGCATTCTCAAATCGCATTATTTCAAACACGTTTCGCAGCTTGGAGTTGATGGACAAGTTTACCTTTGCACCAGAAATCTTGGGACTTACTTTCATATTGACAATTGGACGAACGGAAGAGGCTTTTGGAAGGAATCTCATGCGGGAATAACCTAGTGAAGCCTTGGATTCTACAAGGGCTTTCGCTTCTTTCTCTGAGATTTCACTAAGCATTGTAGTGGTCACAGTTTTGATACCAAACGATTGGATTGTTCTCCATGTTGGTTTGCGGTAGTAAAAGATGTCTTGAGATTGACTTGCACCTTCTGTTATATAAAAAAATGCTTTGAGAATAACCATGATGTAATTACGTACAAGCCACCATAACCAGCGATAAAACACTTCCTTCTGCTTCTCCGACTCGGTGACTGGAATTCTTCCACCTTTATTCCTGGTCAACTTCAACCAATCACAAGATTTAACCTTTATCTTATGCCCCATTTGCAAGAGAGAAAATGTTTCATCTTTCTGCATCATTATAAACCTTTGGAGGGATTTGTAAAACGCTCTTTTGTTGGCATCAGTTCCCCAGAACTCAGCAGGGATAACAGTGTCACAAACAGCCTTTACAAAGCGACACACATTGTATGTTTTAGTATAGTTGTTTACAGCAGTTTTGTATTCCTCAACTTCTTTGTCAGGTTCATCTTCGTCAAAGAGAGATGGGCTCATTTGCTGTTCGTGAATACTACTACCATTCCTTGTCACTTTACAATATCGCTTCAAAAGATCAGCGAATTTACATCTTTTATGACGGAGCAAAAATGTTTTGAATAACTCCCTCATGTTCAAATACCGTCTTGGTAAACGCTGGATTTTTGGCTTCTTTTTCTTTGGCAAACCTTTTTTCTTGTTGTTGTCCTTCTCGTGAATATCGTCGTCTATAAAGATAGCTCTAATTAACCTTGTCACGCCGCTACTGTTGGCAGCTGTGGTCTCCATTATATGCTTCTTTGGGAATTTATCTTTCAAGTTGGTTGAGTACATGATACTTTGACGAAAAAAATGTCTGTTTACGACTCTGGATTTATGTTCTGAAGGCGAACTCTGTAATTCAGGATTGCTGGATGCTTTAAAAGTGGAGTCATTGAGTCTTCGTTTTTTAGCAGGTTTTCTGGTTCTACTGGAACTAGTGTTTCTTTTTCTTTTCTTACTTGTCTTCTTTTTCGACTCGTTTTCTTGAAACGCTAGCTTCTCATCGACTTCCATTTTAACACAAACGTCTTTACCTTGGGCAGCACTTTGAAATACAGGCAAAGTTTGCGACTCTCCGTGACATAATGTTCCTTGAGAATGGTATGATCCTTCTGTGTCCAAAATATTAGATATCCCCCTGCTTGGCAGAGTACATTGTTCCGATGGCTCTTTTGAGGCATTCTCCCCTAACAAACGGACTGAAGAGTAATCCGATTCATGAATTGATGATGGATGCTCTTTACATGCTTCAGATCCTTGTTTTGATTTAGAGTTATGACTAGTATTTCTTGGTTTAGCCCTAATATGGTAATGAATGTAATAATGATAAATCAGTAATGACAAACAACAATAGTAACAGTGATAGGACAGAAGTACTTGATAGAGCGGATTTCGTATGAGTGGGAAACGGACGGTACTGTACTGTGACCGTAATCATACTGTAACCAAATTCTAGTGCCCCATTGGTTCACCAAAATTGTGCAGGCCAGGTGCGGTAACTGTGCGGTAACCGTGCGGTAACGGTGTCCCACTCATACGAAATCCGCTCTATGTAACAAATACTGTAGCACTGCAGTGTGCATCTGGAAAGCTTCTCACCGTCTTTGCTAAATTTTCACAGATTAAGTGGGTTCAATACAACAACACTTTTACACAATACAATCATTACAATAACAATAGTAGTTATAAAGAAGGCCGAAGTGCCGAAACGTTCATTAAAAAGTAGAAAACCTAGTTACAAGTTGCGTGGCTTTTTCTTCATTTATTCTATTTATAAATATATATATATATATATATATATATCCTTAGATGAACAGACAGGCAGATGCCAAGGGTGGATCCCCCACCCTTTTGGAGGACTCAAAAATATAACAATAGGATTTGCCCTATTTCATTATGATGTCAGATAATGTTTACATCTGGAAATGATTCTCAAAATCAGCAGCAGAAATTTGGCTCCATTTATATTAATCTGAAAGTAGAACCTAAAATGTATCATGTCTTCATGCGATGTCACAATGAAATAGTGCGATTATATTCTGAAAAACTAAAGCAGCATTCATGTGAAAGACATTTCATTTTAAATAGATCTAAATCTATCCATTTTTGTTGCCCCTTTCATAATGTTTTGGATCAACCACTAAATACATGGACAGACTAATATGTGAACAGACAGGGATATCAATATATGGAGCAATAAACAGCAAGCAAGCTAAGTACCTTTGGTTGACTTCCATATATTCCAGGTTGTACATTGGTTGACCTGATACCTGCATGTAACAGCTTGTGCCAACTTTAACAAACAGCGCCACATCCTTCAGTAGGTGGATCATCAAATCATCACCTACACGATCATAAAGGGTTTGCCACACCTTGGACATCAAGAATCTAACATTTGAATTAGGGTGCTCATTGAAGATGCTGTTGGTTGCCTGGCTGTTTGGCTTGTCCCTGGCAACTTCATACCCCAGTGAAAGTACATTGCTTGTGCTGCCTCCTTTTGAATGACAAGAAGTCTTGATGATTCTCTGAATCACTTCCTCGATGCCAAATCCATGCATAACGTTCAGCGCAATGTTTGCTGGTCGGTCACCATGGTAACATACTATAGTTTTCTCTAGTAAATCTTTGTAATTTGATTGGTCATTAGGATGGTATATTTTGTCTTGAACTTCAGCCAGATAATCTATCAAGGTGCATTGATTGGGGTAAAATCTTGCAAATAGCTGAGGTACTTTCATCTCCTATTTACTGAAATGAAAACGATCAAAACGATAACATTTTTCTACATATAAAAGCGCACTTAAGGACTTGAAAGCATATGGTAATTAAAATAATACTGCAAACTGTTTCAGAGTTTGAATGTAGAAAATAATAAATGAATAAAGTCATAACAGACTAAATTCATATGACTAATAAATGCAATAGAAAATTTGAAGTAAAAGATGGGGTGGATATATAACTGTAGAATTATATTCTGACATCAATGACTTGACTTGACGCTATTTTGTCCTGATCTCTCAATCAAATTAAGATACCTAGATAACGTCAACCAGGTCTTGAAATAAGGGTCAGCCTACAGACATCATATGTTCAAAACAAGGCTATATAAATATCTATACAAATCTTTGGGTGACCTGATATTTTGTTCAATCACTATTACTAGTGTAATCATAGACTTATTCTAGTCATGGTCGTTGTTGAGATGAATTTGTATATTTGTAAAATTGAACAATCAGTGTCAATCAAGAGTTCTTTACAAGGCTGGATCTAGGATTTTTCAAAACGATGTCCAGATCTTCCACTCCTTTGCTTTAAATACCGGTATATAAGTGCTATTCATATGAATGCTGGTTATAAAACTTGTCTTGTCTAAGTTAAATTAAAACAGGTTTAGCTGACCCTGTTTTCTATCCTTGGAAACGCAACTGCTTCATGAATGTCAGCAAGTATGCTGATGGCACTGATGTATGCAAGACTTTTATACGTCAAAAATGATTAATGATTGTCATTGAAAGAATAAAGTGAGCTTCGCTTGCTTAACGATAGACCTAATCGGCTAACGGCGTTGCTATGTACGTTGCCACCCAATTCAAATCCTGTGGGAAAAAGAACTTTTGTTTCTAAGAATTCAACTGTGAAATGAAAATACAACGAACAATGAAACTTACTCCCGGGTGGTTTGAATTGGGTTGAAGCCGATTAGGTCTATAGACCATTAGTCCAACCATTATTCCAAGCCCTGCAAAAAAATTGGTGAAATGCACTGGCAATCATCAACACCAGGATTTCACAGTCATATAGAAATAAAGTATTTTCGTTTCATATGCCTGGCCAGATTTTAAAATTGTCCAGCAAAATTTTAGTTGACCAGACAGCATGTCTTGCATTAGTCAAACATTATTCCTGCGCTGCTAACAAGCTCCTGGGGGTCAGGGAGGCTTTCAATCAACTGATACATAGCGAAGTACATTACCTATATAAATTTATTCTGAATGATCATATCAAGTACAGTAATGTACTCCTTGCATTAGATTGTTTGAAAAGCTTCTAAATGTACTGTATTAATAGCACACACTGCTGACCTGTCAGAATACAGATAACTCAAAAGTACATTTTGTAACTGGGTAATCGTTTTTATAAAGAAAATGTCAAAATCTCCAACCCTTGTTGACCTGACACCCTTGGGATTGACAACGATTAAAAAGCAAGAATTCAAGCTATTGTAGCAATAATACACGAGTTTTCTTTTTTTAATTCCTTCCGGCGTCATTTGCTTCTTTTTCACGAGCCAATCAAATTCGCACTAGTCACTTAGGAGTCTTGCACGTTTTCGCCACACTTGCCAAGAAAACGAAAGTTCTGAGTGCGATATTGGTGACAAATTAGCATGCTGTATATATGCGTGCATCATGTGCCACCATGCACGGTTATAAAGTCAAATTCCTGACATATTTCTAACATGTAGTTTCTTTCAAAGGTACTCAAATGACGATTGTGTTGCGAGATCATCAATTCAAACTGTATTGAGCCTTGCAGACTCGAGACAGAACTTTAAATCGAGACAGATTTCCACTGAAAAATGTTCTTAAGATCATACCTTTACTTAGTATCTACTTGATATTCATTTTCTTGCTTCCAAGTAGGTCAAACAAGGACACTGGTATCAAGAATTAACCATTATCATAGATGCATCCAAAACCACGCGCAGTTTATTTCTTATCTCCCGCCACTTCTGTCCAGCGGTCTGCATGTGAATTTAAACAGGAAGCCCACCGCTCCGGGTCTTTCAGTGATAGCACAGGGAGCCCAAGCAATGACTTTGAAACCTATAATAGTTAAAAATAAAATTTTACTTAAAAGAATAGTCTACTTTTATTTTATTCAGTATCATGATGCATTATAAATTGGCCACTATATATATTTAGGGAGAGGAAATTTTTTTAAAACCCATTTAAAATACATTGTGACACTGAATAAAATAAAAGTAAACTAGTTTTAGTAAAAATTTTATTTTTAAGTATTATAGGTTCAAAGTCATTGCTTGGGCTCCCTGTGGTGATAGTCGGTAAAAAAAAACGAGAAAAATTTCTTTAAAATGCTAGGTATAAAGTTATTGATAATTCCTCTTATTAAATGAAATAGAAAGTTGGAAATGAAATTTGAGCGTCTGATGCCTACACTCACGTAACATTCTTCTCTAAAATTCAAAAATAGACACAAAAACGGGAGAGCCTGCGTAGCACTCAGTTGATGTAATATATTCATAAAGATATAATACAAAACACATAATACAATAGAACGAGGAACAATGGAATACAATACATTTTATGAATACATTACATCAACTGCGTGCTATGTAGGTCTCCCCGAAAGAACATTTCATAACTAGTTCCCAGTCTTCCCCGAGCAAAATCAGAAATTGCTTGAGAAATTGCCAAGTAATGTCTATCTTTTTTATGAAAAGTGACTCCAGACATCATCACTTGATTCAGGGATACAAAAGTGCAATTCTTCCTTTCGGTTGCATTGCTACATGTCGAGATGGTCGGTTAACTCGGTTGCAGTTTTAAAAATACACGAACGTTATACTTTCGTATGGTCTTTGTGAAAATTGAAAACAAAAGGGAACTCCTAGTGCTTTATTGAAGGTTTATAACTACCAAAGCAATTGATCATACCGTCTTAATTGCCTCGTGTGTGTGTCTTACCATGAAGAAGTATGGTTTATAGTGAGAACAGCAGACGGCTCAGCATTCAAAATGATTGCCATCCAAACCTTTGCCCTTTTGTTCTATTTACAGCTTGTTCATACAGGTATGTAAATTCATGTGCATAAAGTTGTTTTTGTTTACTACCATTTTGAATATTATTGCTCTACACGACATATATTCAAAAAAAAAAAAAAAAAAAAAAGAACATTGTTAAGCTACTGAAGCTAGGAATGAGCGATAAATTAAAAAATGTTATTTTCCCTAATTGATTTAAGAAAAACTCAGACTTGCTATTTATAAATCCGTGAAAAAGTTCCCCTACAACTTTACCATCATTATACGGAGCTATTTGTTTTATCTTTCAAGGCCAGTTTACACTTATGATTTTTGCAGCGCGATAATCGTGGCGATCGTCGCGCGACCACCGCCTGAGTTTCGAACATGCTTGAAAATTGGCTGCAGCTTCGCGGTGATTTTCCATCGACGCAACAATCGCAGGGTTGCTTACACGTTCGATTTGAGTTAGCGATAGCAAAGTGACGATCATCACGCTGAAAAAAATCGTAAGTGTAAACGGACCAGAATGTAACTCCCATTTTTTTAGGAATCCTATACAATGTAGTTCTTGAAACATTTGCAGTTTCAGACGCAGTTTCATATGCTAATTAGCTTCATAATCAAATTTATTCACAGGTTGTAATTCTCTTGCGAACATAGTGTATGTTTCGAAAGCTAAAGGTGTAAACAGCCCATGTGGTACTAAAGTTTCACCTTGTAAAACTCTTCCAATTGGATTTGACAAGCTTTCAAATGGTGGTCAACTGTACGTTGATGGCACAGGAACTGACATGGATCCCTATACTTGTGAATCAAACGGTGGAAGACTTCTTTTGAAGAAAGGCTTCGAGATGAAAAGTTACAAGAACCATGCCCAAATCTCTTGTATAGATGGAATAGTAATCCAGGCTAATGAACAAAACCCTTTTAGAATCACAATCAAAGGGATACGATTCGTCAAAACACCCATTGTTTTAGAAGATGCAACCGCTTCATTCAACGACTGCGTGTTCACGGAATCATCACCAGCCTTAAAAATAAACATTTCCAAACAATCTAAGTATGTACTAAATGTCAGCAGTTCTGTATTCAGAAACAACTCGGGCTGTATACATACATACACTGAAGATAGTATAGGAGTGTCTATAAATCTACATGATGTATTGTTCCAAGAAAACTCAGCACCATATGTGGCGGATGGAAAGTCTAGTGATGGAATAGTCAGCATTCAAGGTTCAAGATGCCGGCCATGTTCAGGTGCAAAAGTGGCATCATTCTGGAGCAAAGTTACGATTATGAACAATCAAGTTTCTCCAAAAAGAAATCGTCGAAAGACGGATAAAACTAGCAACCATTCCCCACCGGGAACCGCAAATTTTCTTAAAGTTCATGCGAAAAGTATAAACCTTAGTTTATGGCAAGTAAGCAGTCACAACAACAGTGGCTTGAGATTTTTAAAGTCTAATTGCTTTATTAATGTCATAAAGGTGGGCGAAGCGCGCTTCGATGGTCACGTGGTGGACACATTTGGAGGTGTTTTCTATATAACATCATGTAAAAAAGCCAAAAGCATTGCTAATGTGTCTGTACAAAATTCAATTTTCACAAGAAATGTGGCTTCTAGTGGTGGAGTCATGCATATCAACGCTACACAGATGGTACATCTGAGAATCATCAACACCAGGATTTCACAGTCTTTTGGTACGAGTAACGGGTGCGCAGTCTGTGTTGGGAACCCCACCAACCGTAGGACTCATAATTTGGTTGAAAAGCTCTTTGTGGAATTCAAAAAAGTCGAATTGAAGGCATGCCATTTGCGAAAACCAAGAATTTCAAAATCTAACAATAACAAACATTTCCCTGCGACAGTGTATCTTGCAGCAGAAAGGATTTTGCAAGTCAATATTTCAAGCTCGGAGATTTTGAACAATTTGAACTATTATGGACCAACTTTAGCCATCGAGCACTTACCTCACCGTCCTAAATATTATCATTCTCTGAGAGTGTTTTTATTCAACACAACATTCACTGGAAATATCTCGCCCGTTAAAAAGGCTGCTGTGCTTAATATCCATGTATTTCGTCCAAAAACCCTGAAAACATCTGAAGCGAGAATTGTGAATTGCAGTTTTAATAATAACTCTGGATTGGCGCTAATGGCTCATAATATTCCAAACGTAATTGTTGATAAACTACACTGCTGGAATACCACCAAAGGTATTTACTTCTTTATAAAGAAAATTCCTAATATAACATTAAGAATATTGAACTCTGTTTTTACAAAAAATGATTTACCATTCAAAATTACTCTGCATGATGCGGAGGTTGTCAGGATTTTAATCCAAAGAAGCATATTAAACGAAAACCAAATTAAAATTCACCATGAGCCTATCATGGTTTTTATTGGTTTCAAGAATCGAGGTTCTTGTAAACGATCATTAAAAATCAATTCTGGTGAACTTGTAGTCGACCAAGTGAATTTTACATCCAATAGGCTTTTACGGAACAGTCTTTTGGCCATTGTTGTCTCCAAGTGTGGGAAGCTCTCAGCAGTTATCAAGAATTCGCTGTTCAAGGACAATGTACAAAAGAATATAGATAACCGTACCATGGAAAACAAATTGATAGAACTTCGGATGCCTGATGATCCACTTCGAAACAATAACTGCACCACATTTCCGATCTATGATTTTAGTAACACTATTACTTTCCAAGACGTGATCTTTGAAAACAACACATGTTACTCATCTCTACTGTACATTATTAACGGGAAAACATCATTTCGACGATGCGTTTTCAAGGATAATTTCTCACGTGAGCCAACTATAAGCTCTTACATCTTCGTGGAAATCGGAACCGCAAGTGTGGAGTTTCATAATTCAACTTTCAGTCACTCAAACGTTAAACTGTTTCCTCGCAAGAATTTTGTAAATCCACTTATTAATCCACCAAAGATAATGCCTTTTGTTTACTTCTCCGGAACAGGTCCTTTTATTTCAAGAGGATCCAATTTTACGTTGGATGTTCCAGAAAGAGTAACTAAGATCCTAATAATCCAGAACTCCCGTAATTTTAGTCTCGACGAAAATACTCACGTGACCTGTCCAGTCGGTAGCTATATCGACTTTGAAAATGCGTCGCGTGTGGTGCCACGAGAATATACGATAAATAACTGCCCTCTTCATATCGAATATGTAACTTACGCTTGCACACATTGTCCCGTCAGTACTTATTCCTTATTAAGAGGATCATTTCGAGGGAGAAAAAAAACATTTATAGAGTGTTTCCAATGTCCGTTCGGCGGAAATTGCGGCTTGTCTAATATTAAGAGCAAACGAACATTTTGGGGCTATAGGACAACCTTGCACCCAGAGCCTCAGCTTAACTTCACAAGATGCCCTGAAAAATACTGTATTTATCCCAAGTCCGGCAGACATTATACAGAGTTCAACTATTGCAATGGGAATAGGACTGGAACCATGTGTGGATCGTGCAAGAAAGGATTTACAGAAAGCATGTTTAACCATCACTGTCGACCAGCACGTCAATGTAAAGATAACTGGTTCTGGGTATTTTCTGGTGTTTTTTCTCTTGCAATGGCATTGTACATCATTTATCAGCCATACATAACTGGACTGCTTGTTAGGAAAATTCTGTGGTTTAAAGAAGTCAAAACTGATCAGACAAAACATTCCCAGCACCAAGATCATGGATATTCTAAAATTATTTTCTTTTTCTATCAAATCGTCATCTTATTCCTCATAGATCCTGAGGTACTTGCCCGCCAACATGTCATATTTTCAATCGTCTCACTTTATAACTTTGAGATTGAAATACTCGATGCCTCTTCGGGATGTCCCTTTCCTGGCCTAAATGCTGTCACGAAAGAACTGTTTCGACCTCTTCAGGTTTTTGCAGCGATGGCGGCGGTGCTTGCAGTCTACTTTGTTCATCGACTTGTTTTCTTTATATCCAGGAAAACAAGGCCCTACTTTGCACCATATATCGCAGCTATTGTTGAGATACTTCTATTGGGATATGAAAGACTCGGACACACCTCTTTGGAACTCTTGAATTGTACACCGTTGACCATAGATGACCGCGTTCAATGGCGTCTGTTTGTGGATGGTAACATCACATGTTGGGTGCATTGGTGGCAGTACGCTTTAGTCGCCTACAACATCATCTTTGTTGTTCCATTTCTTGTCGTACTGTGGATAGGTACATCTAAGCTGAGACGTCAACAGATAAGTGCCTTGCAGTTCGTTGCAGCCTGTTTTGCACCTCTCCCATTCCTAGTGTACTGGTTGGCCAAACGTTGTTTGAAAACAAATTCAAGTATTACTAATAAGTACCAAGAAATGCGGAAACATATTTTAGAAGTTATGGAAGGCCCATTCAGATCTCCTGACAGCCAGTCAAGTGGTGCGTTGTTTTGGGAAAGCATTTTGATTGGTCGACGTTTAGTGTTTTTGAGTCTAGGCTTCCTTATTCCATCTCCAATGTTTCGACTTCTTCCAATGACCCTTGTAACCGTCGCAGTACTCGTTCACGAGGTAGTCGCAATGCCGTATAAAGATAAGAAGGCCAATATTTTGTCTGTCTTAACGCTGTCAATCACCGTCGTCATAGCTACGATCAACCTGTGCAAATCTGCGCTTGTCTCGTTTGGCATTTCACCCGAAGGAAGACCAAAGCTTCATTTCTACAGATTGCAAGTGCTTGAAGTCGTACTTCTGTGCGTTCTTCCTTGTGGGATAATAGCCCTTGTAATTGCTGCTGTATTTTCACAAGTTGTACGGTTATTTATAAAAGTTTATAAATCCGTCTCCTCTTTCTTCACAGCTAACGAAAATGAATGCACGTTTGATGAAATCCATCGTGAAATGGTTAATCCAACAACAAAATCCATCAACACACCATTGCTAGACGATTGCGACAGCCAATAGAAACAGAGAAGGGACTGGGACTTAGTCCACACTTCTATGTTCAAACTTAAGCGGATTGTTCTGATCCAAATAATCCAAATAAGCATACCGACTAAACAAGTAAATAGAAATATAAAAAACTGATTAGAAGAGAGATTATATAAAGCACAGACATTATTCTTGGCAGCGTTAATTAATGATAAATAAAATTGATGATAAGGGTTCATTTTATTGCCAATAAATTAATATAAGATTCCACGAGTTTTGAAATGACTGAAAATCCCTGTCACAAGATAAAGCACAAAGACATTAGCGAAATCATTAAGAAGCAGAAATTTAATTTTTGAAAAATTTCTAGAAATACAAAGAATGTATGTTTGGCTCGAAAAATACTGGACCATTTGGGTCGGTCAGTTCTTTGTGACTTTGTAATTTTGGCTTGCTTTCAATACCCATAACTTCAAACATCCTGAATATTTTGTTCTGGAATATCAATATTTAAGTAACAATGTAAGAACTGTAGAACTCTCTATTGTTCTGCGGCATTGAAACTTCCCCACATACAAATGTCTTGGTTTTCACACTGATTATATATCAACCTATAGGTAACGCATTTTTGAAATAAAATATGGATAAACTCTATTTGAAACAAAGTTTCTTTTGTATTAAAACCTCTTATCCAATCATAAGCACTCAAAACAATTGCTAAAAGAAGCTTCTAATTTGCTATGTTCCCCACATAGAATTGCCTTAATATTGTAGCTAAAGAAAGCTTTCATGAAGTCGGAATCAGATATTAAATAAAATATTAGAAAATGCGCTAACTTATGAAATTATAGCAGATTTTCTTGTTTGAACCAATGGGATGGATGGATTATACATTACACAATTAGCACCTTCTTGCATTCCTTTGCCGTTTGCTTCTATAGTTCTTACTCGGGCCATTACTTAATCAAATTTTGCAGTTCGGACCCAGTCCCATTTTTGTTTTGCTAGAGTGGTTTTCATTAGCACGTGAAACACACTTTAGCGTATTTATCGCTATTACACTTTGGCTCTTTTGTTTTTTATTGTCTCTACGCGACTATTACGATCTGTTACACTCTAATTATTACACTTTGTTTCACGGGTTTATGAAAACCACTCTATTGGCGAAAGCATGGAATATACTTGAAAGGTATTTCATAGATAATGATATCATGAACTCTTTTATTCAGCAGAGACCCTAAATAAATCGCTCTGTGTACTAGGAAAACAATAAAATTTGTTGCTGATTTGAAATAAAGCTTGCACAAACGAAAGACAATACAATTGCAAAAGAGAATTCGAAACTGGTGTATTGATTTCTTTTGATGATCTCATCTGACACTGGCGTGGAAAACTAAATCTGGAAAATAGAAATTTTGCAAGCAAAACTAAAGAATTTTGAAACTCAAGAGTCAATGAAGCATGAAAGCGAACACTGAGTGACATCATTGGTCCTGTACTTTCGAACACTTGATCGTATTTCACAAACAAAAGATTCTTAATCCTAATGAAAGAGCAATCGAAACTAAAAAAACTAGAAAAAAACATGCGCAGGGAATAAATACAAAAACTTTGACAGGAGTTTATTTGCGATCTTAATGGGACATGATGCGGAATGTCAACCTGGTTCTCTTTGTTGTGGCTTTCAACTTGTTTCTTTGTAGATGCGCTTCAGGTACAATCCATTTTCTTTATTGTTTATCATTGAGTCCAAACACTAAAAGTGTCAAAAACGTTTTACCAAATAGAGGGGTTTTTACGAGCCTGTGAAATACACTTTAGTACACACTGCACTTTATATTACTCTTTGTTTCACGGGTTGCAGTGGTTTTCATTACACGCAGATTTAATCTTCTCCAGTCGCAAATCGCTCCTCTCAATCTGTCAAAGTGTTGATTTCATGTTTGTGTAGCAGCCTTGACATTGTTATTTATGCATGCTATTCCGATTTTTTAAAGAAAAATAAGCCTCATTGATTGTTCGTGGCATTGTGAATTGATTAGAGAAAGTTGGAAAAGAGGTTGAGGATTTCAGTGCAAAATACCTTTTATTATATTATTTGAATTTATTTATTTATTTGTTTGTTTTTTTCTTTCGATTTTTTCTTGCATATATATTTTCTATTTATTACAAAGCCTTTTGGCAATACCATTGGGAACCATGGAAAAACACTTTTTCGAACGATTCGGGCGAAAATATGGACACTACACAGAAGAGCAAAAACAACTAGGTTATGAAGGATAGAGAAAGACTCAAAGCTTGATATTTAGGTATCTGTCAATCAGTGATTTCAATTCGCATTGCGTTCTTTAAAGGAAAAGTCGAAACTGGGTTTTTCGTCATGTTCATTTCTATTTCTACATTTGTTATATTAGTCGCATGCTAGATGATTCGTCATGCAGCATATTTTAGTAGGGGTAGGGTGCAGAATGACTTGATGGGTAGAGGGAGCTGTCTAAAATTGTCTTTTTTAACAATTAAAAAATAAAAACAAACAAAATCAAAAAGAAAATCATTGAAAAAGTATCAATCTGCGTGAAACAAATATTGCCGCATAAAGAAATCTGATTTTTCAGTTCCTTGGGGAAGGGGTTGATGGGAAGTCAGCCAATTCCCATTCGTTGGATCCACCCTTGATTTGTGTGATCCTCTTTCCTCCTAAAGTAACTATCACAGCATTTATATAATAATCAATTGTTTGATGTGCATTTCAGATAGAATTTGTCGTTCATCTGTTTACGTGTCGAAGTTTAAAGGAACAAGCCGGCCTTTAAAGTGCGGTTCTTCTGAACTACCTTGTAAAACACTAGCTAATGGCTTCGCGCGGTTGTGCTGGAACGGTACTGTGTACATCGATGGCAAAGGAACGCGCCGAAACCCCTATTCTTGCTCTGGCAAATCTGAGAAACTCACAATATCGAAATCCTTCTGGGCAGAGAGCTACAACGAGAAGACTGCTTTTATATCATGCCATGGTGGAATAACTTTCCAAACTCTTGATAACACGTACACAAACATCACCATGTCAGGACTGACGTTTATAAGCACAACCATTGTTATAGATGACACGACCGCTGTATTCAATAACTGCGTTTTCATTGGATCATCGCCAGCCTTGGATGTAAAGGTTTCTAAACTATTTTCCAAAACGATTTCAATATATACACTTAATGTCAGTAATTCTATTTTTAAAGAAAACTGGGGTTGCATACATATGAACAGTCAAAATGCCAAATGCAATACCGTAGTTTTGAATATTCACAATGTTACGTTGCGAGAAAACGCCATCTTGAAATGTGGGTTAGTTGACATACTAGGATCAAAGACGCCAAGATGTAAGTCTCTTTCTGTGATGACGACATGGGACAATGTCATAGTACAAAACAACATGAAAGGAAGTCCAACTGAATGCAAAAAAAGCAAGACCTATCCTATTCATGACAGCATCTTCACGGCTAATGGACGCACAATTCAACTCAATTTCATGCGAGTGATTAGTAAAAATAACTCTGATTTAAGATTTCTAGGAGTCAATTCACGAAGAAGCAGTATAAATGTGTGCAACTCTAGTTACCATGGACACCATATGACGGGAAAAGGAGGTGTCATGTACATAACCGCTCTACAAACAAAAACGTCTGCCATCAATGTTACTGTAATCGATTCAAACTTTTCTAATAATGTCGCTCCAAAAGGGGCTGCGATTCATGTCCAGCAGAAGACTGGTAATAGTTTGAGCTTAAAACTATCTGGTGTTAGCTTTGTGAATTCGTTTGGCTACGATAAGGGTTGTGTCATTTCTCTCAAAGGTGACAATAGTCTTCAGGCCACAATAGAGAGATCAAAACTGATAAACTGCAGTTACCCTTGCAAAGGAACAAACTGTTCCAAAAAGAGGCACGTTGGAATCTGTCTCTATTCGAAAATGGATATTTGTGTTGAAATAAAGAAATCTCTTTTTATTAACAACGTTGATGGGTCTACGGTTTTCATTAAAAACAAGATCTATCCGACGGAAACGGAGAAAGGGATTCTTCATATATCTGTAATTAACTCGACATTTCAGAGAAACACTGCTGATCAATTATCTCAAGGCGCAGCCCTTTCGGTAAACAACTCCTATCATGCGATGAAAAAAGCCGTCGTGAACATCATTAACTCAAGTTTCAATCTCAATAAAGGTGGAATGTTATTATCAAACGTTGAAACGATCAATATCAAGAACACAACATGCAAAAACAACATGCACTTCTGCATCAAAGCTGTGTTTGATGCTGTCAACAGAAAGCGTGGGGTCTCTCTAAACACTTCAATTTTTATTGAAAACTCCATTTTTACTAGAAATGAAATGCCAATATATATCTTCAACAAGTACCCTGAAGTCGTCAATATCCTATTAAAAGATCTTTTATTCTACAAGAATGATTTTGACGAAGTCATCGCAATCACTCTTGAATCATCGACGAAAAGTGGATTGCTTACTTCAGGCAGTATTAAATTAGATGGCGTTTGTTTTATTTCTAATTCACTTAAGAATTCTGGTGGATATCTTCTAGGAATCCATTCTTCTCATAAAGGAAACATTACTGTGAAGATCATTCGTTCTGTTTTCAAACACAATTATCAAAAACCTGGAATAAGCCGTTCTATTTTTAGTTTGTTGTACTTCTACTTGCCAGAAGATCCTAAGAACAGTCAAGCTTGCACTCTGTTCCCTGTGTATCAATACAACAATGTGATTTTCTTTGAAGATGTTACTTTTGAGAACAACACTGGCTCACTATCAATGGTGTACTTATCTAGTGGAAAGACTCTCTTTAGGAGATGTCGCTTTAGAAACAATTTTTCCAGACATCCCATGATAGGTGCCCACATCTACGTGGAAGACCAAGGAACTGCATCATTGAGGATTGAAAATTCATCGTTCCTTCAGTACCATCGAATACTCGAACGTACCACACACGAAGAAAGACTCATGCAATTTGTATACGCAGGGGCAAATGGCCCATTAGAACTCATCAATTCAAGTTTTGAATCTAACGCTTTAACGAGAATTAAAAGCCCACTTTTTACAATCCAGTATGGTGGATATGTTTGGTTTGACAAGAACACCAATTTGTTTTGCCCATATGGCAGTTCGATGATATTCGAGAACTTGTCACGTGTTCTGCAACCTAACCTTACAAGGGATCACTGCAATTGTAATATCACACGTTTTAAGTTTACTTGTGCTATGTGCTCAGAAGGCACGTATAGTCTCCAAAGAGGTTCGTTCCATGGTTCTTCCTTAAAGCAAACCCGCACAACTTGCCTCCCGTGTCCATTTGGAGCCAACTGTACTTGGAAAATCAAAACCACTGCTAACTTCTGGGGCTACTTGGTTTCACGTCGACGCAGTGAGCTTAACTTCACAAGATGTCCTCACAAATACTGCGAAGTACCCAAACAGTTGTCATCGTATAACGGTTGTTATGGTAATCGAACAGGTACCATGTGTGGCGCATGCCGGGAAGGTTTCACGGAAAGTATGTTCAACCGGAATTGCCGTGCGATAAAAGAGTGTAATGATGGATGGTTTTGGATGGTCATTGGACTCTATTCAGCAATTATGGCAATTTACTTCATTTTTAGACCAAAGATAAGCCAAATTGTGATTCAAAAGATATTCTGGTTTAAAAAATCCCCAATGGTTCCGCCAAACAGTAGGATCGGCGGAAGTCACACCAGGCAAAAACATGGATGCGGATTTTCTAAGATTTTATTTTATTTTTATCAAGTGGCGGAGCTTTTAATGATCAGGTCTCATGATGACATCCTACATAGAAGTCTATTTCTTGCTCCTGTGATATCATTTTTCAACTTTGAGATTGAACAAATCGACAACTCATCGGGATGCCCTTTTCCAGGACTGAATGCTGTCACAAAAGAACTATTTCGATCTCTTCAGGTTTTCGCAGCGATGGCGACCGTGTGCGTCATCTATCTAATGTATTGGTTGATAAGTCTGCTGACAAGAAGAATAAGACCTTATTCTGCACCGTATATTGCTGCTATTGTTGAGATACTTCTATTGGGATATGAAAGACTCGGACACACCTCTTTGGAACTCTTGAATTGTACACCGTTGACCATAGATGACCGCGTTCAATGGCGTCTGTTTGTGGATGGTAACATCACATGTTGGGTGCATTGGTGGCAGTACGCTTTAGTCGCCTACAACATCATCTTTGTTGTTCCATTTCTTGTCGTACTGTGGATAGGTACATCTAAGCTAAGGCGTCAAGAGATAAGTTCCTTGCAGTTCGTTGCAGCCTGTTTTGCTCCTCTCCCATTCCTAATGTACTGGTTGGTCAAACGCTGTTTTAAAAAGCGTAACCAAAGTTCAGTGGGGTTCGGATATGCAAACTACCGTGATCAAGCAACATCAGAAGCTTTACTGGATGTCATCGAAGGTCCGTTCCGACCACCAAACGGGGATTCACATGGTGCATTGTACTGGGACAGCATCTTAATCGGCCGTCGGCTGGTATTTCTATGTCTCTTCTCATTTGTGGACTCACCATTGCTTCGTTTGTTCTTCATGACCATCATGTGCATTGTTATACTCATGCATAATGTCCAGGTCATGCCTTATAAGGAGAAAATGGCAAACATCCTGGCTTTGGTATTGTTGTTTATACATGTTTTCATAGCAATAAATAACTTATGTCAAGCTGTTTTTGTCACGGATGGAGTGCTTCCTAAGAAACCCACCAAGAAAATGATTGACGCTCTAATGATGATGAACGTTGTTTTTCTCGCTGGTCCACCAGTTGGATTTGCAATACTAGTTGCAATTGCTGTAATCTCTCAAGTAATGCAAGTGATATTCCTATTGCTAACGGCAATACGTGCATGTATTTGCCCGACCAAGTCAAGAAGAGAAGAACCACTAGAATTTATAGACGAAAGAGAAAGCCACCGAGAACCTTTGCTAGTTGTAGGAGACGAGGACTACTTGGTACAAAACAACTGAATCATAGATATTTCCTGAAAAATCTTTGTAGTTGTATATTTTCTGCTTATCTCTGGTTTACGAGCATGTGTGAATGCAATGATTGACTATTATAGTTCACTCGCCATAGAGACTCCACAAAGGACTTTAACAAGCAATTCATTTTGTTCAAAATCTATAGTTAGAGATTATAAATACTCGAAGAAAAACAAAATCGATAATATCTACAAGGATAATAGCTTTAGATTAGTATGGTTTTCCCGCACGGACTCCAATAATAGAAAATTATATAAAAAATGGAATTCAAGTTTACTAACAAATAATAAAATAAAGCATTTGAGGATTTCATCGAGCACTAAAAATCTTTGGCCGAAATTTATGGTACTCCACCATTATTAATTTCATTATGACGTCACAGCATGTTTAATTAGAAAACGATGCTCAAAAGCAGTGGAAATTTGGACGCATTAATATTGTCTTCTAAAGTAGAAATTCAATGAGTCGTATTTTGATTTATATATATCATGTATGAATGATTGCTCGTGTACTGAATTTTGTTTAACGAACTATGATAACTGATAATAAATAACTTTTTAAGTCTCTCTGTTCTGCAATGGGAGTCAATATATGGAGAGTTTTAGATTCGCGTTTACTGCAAACGCCAAACGTCAAGTTATCTTTTATGATTGTCTCAAAATTTCAAACAAACTTAAAAACGCTTTGAAAATGCACGAAAATGTAATCTATTTTATACACAATCGCGAAAGAACGGAGCGTTAATTCAGAAAAACAGTGATCACGTGATCAGTTTTGACGGTTGGCGTTCGCCGTAAACGTGTATCTAAAACTTTCAGTGCATTCAAGTAACCGCAACTGCTTAGGGGCAAATAACAATGTATGAACGCAAGATCAATGATCCTTTTGTGATCCGTTCAAGAAACGTGCATCCAGAATCCAATATACCGACAAGTCATAATACATCATATCAATGAGCCAATCAGATCGCACGTTTTTAAAGTATTGAAGCATGCAGTCTCTTAACTTCTGATATTGACAACTAAGACACATTAAACATTGCGGAAACCTATAGTTCCAAGGTAAGTAAATATCTTTTATTTATGTGGACAAATTACTTTGATAAACTTCGCTAGAGCCGAGAAATGCACCTTTAGCCGATATCGTGACATGATGTGTATTATAGATGAACTGTTCCACAAAGAAAAGTAACTCTATTAGTTGATTTTTCTTTCTTGAGTTTTTTCTTTGATGTTTACAAAAGTTTATATCTACTCCGAGATTTTGTTAATTGTGAACTTTTTAGATGGGAATATGCTTCTAAAAATTAATCTAATCGATGAAGTTCAGGAAGCCGGATTACACTGATTTACACAGTATTATAAGATCACAGGGTTTTAGTTCTCATGAAGGTTTCGTGTATATCAGATATTACAGAACTTTCCTCCGAGTACGTGTATTTGTAAACTGAATTTATAACAAATTCAATATGATTTTACATTTATATTTAGATATTTTGTATAGGGCTTTGCGAGAATAATTTTAATTATCACAGGCGACATGGACCGTAAATGTCTGATAAATGTCGGAGTTTTCATTAATATTCATAGTTCTTTCTGCCAGACAATATTGAAAACCATAGCTATAAAATGGCTTTAGTCACCGGAAACTATTAGAATTGAAAATTTCGTTTCCCTCTTATAATTTTTTTCCCAAATACAATAAATAATCAACATAACCAAGTGAGAAATGTAAGCGTACGCGAACGAAGTTTAACTAAAACGTAGGGCCCAGGCCCCACTCATTGGTCCATGCATTCAGAAAATATAGTCGAAGGGAAAAAAATTCCAGAGGGAACATTAAAATAAACTTTAGAACACGTGTATTTAAGGGTTTAAGACAATTTACATGTATGAGTATGATTCCAGATTTTGACAATTTTCGTTAGAGTAGCGCTTTAGGCTCTCTTGAACAATTGACACAATTTTTACTATGCAGGGGAACTTTATTGTTGGGCTCTCAAAGCTTCCGCTCCTGAAATTGCCAATGACAACGTAAATCTAATTATACCGGTTCTACTTTCTTAAATCTCGACTAAGACGGTTTAATCGGTAAAGCGTTTTTTGATTCATGTTCTTATGCTATATAGTAAATGACTATTGTTATTGCTTGAAAACTATGAGGGCAAGCAGACAAGTGCAGAAATCGGTTGGTGAGAGGGGAGGGGAGAGGAGCTCGTCGTCCCTTTTAGGCTTTGAAATCAGTATTTTGGTCTCGAGTTTTGTAGTCCCTTTTAGCCTGCGGTATACACCCTTTTAATAAGTCCCGAGGTATTGTGTTCTCCGCACTTGACGTCAAATTTATTCTTTTGAAATTTTTACAATACAAAAGGAATTCATATATTTTGCCATATATTTTGTTTAAATATATTTTCGCAGTAATTTTCTTTTCTTTTAGGAAATTCTTTTTGTAGAGTATATGTAAACACATGTTTAATTGTTACATTCATTTCATGTATATTAGATATAAAGTGAAGACATTTTGAAGACGCTTTCGTTAAAAGGATCAATGTTCTGCTCGTTCAAAAATACAACAATCGCGTTCTTTTGTTTCCATTGATATTTTAATGGTTTTCTTGCAGCCATAGGTTTCCTTAAATAGTCTCAATTTGCAAAAATCAACCATGTACGTTGGATTTCTCATCTGCGTGTGTGCCTTCACTTTTCAATGGTCAGCGGTATTCTCAGAGAAAGCAAAACGTCCACATATTATTTTCGTCATGGCCGACGATCTTGGATGGAGTGATATTGGTTACCATAACATATCATCTGCCGTGAAGACACCTAATATCGACCGGCTAGCTAGAGCTGGCATGAAGTTTACTAATTATTATGTTCAAGCCGTGTGTACACCTTCACGAGGGGCTCTGATGACAGGCAAATACCCGATACATATAGGTCAGCGGAAATTTGCACTTAATTACACTCACCTGACGATGCGAAGAAAATGTTTTGAAGAGGTTGAACTGAAATGGAATGTGAATAATTTTTACATTAATTAAATTTGTTGGTCTTCTTAATTGAAAATTCTTAATTTGAGCAAAATTTGGATGAAAATACTTGTTTCCAATTGCCAAAGGGAAATTAGTAAACCCTTGATACTACTTTCCTCTCATAGATGGTGGCTTGAAATTCGAGCCAAATAACGCACTTTTCACATCACTATAGGAATGCAACATTTCGTCATTAACAGTACCTCTCCCTGGGGAATGCCTAAAGATGTTCCTACACTCCCAGAAAAGCTTCGGCAGCTTGGTAAGTGGATTGTAAATAGAATGCAAAGATAATAGTCTACTTTTGACCAATTACAAAAGAACTGAAGGCGACGCTCATTGGTAACAATAGATAGTCTTATTGCGTTCCCAGAGTCTCGTCTTCAATCATTTTGTGCGTGTCAATGCAATTCACCCAGAATATCGAAAGTGGACTATTTTGCTTACTAATCAATCATTATGCATAAATGAATTAAATCAAAGTTAAGGAAAAAAGAGTGCAGAGACAACAGCGGTGAAGTATTTTATTTAATGTTATTTAATTGTTGTAGGTTACAGTACAAATCTTGTTGGCAAGTGGCACTTAGGTTTCTTTGACTGGGACTACGTACCAACGGCTCGTGGGTTTGATACATTTCTTGGTATTTTTATGGGTGAAGGGGACTTTTGGAACCACACCAAATATGGCTACCTGGACATGAGGAGAGGAAAAGAACCTACCTGGAGTTACACTGGAAAACATTCCACCGATGTCTTCACACAGGTCTTGTGATAATCCATTTTACACGGTTCACAGAGCCAACGCACATCAAAGCCGGGAAGACATTTSTTGCGCACGCTATGATAGAGCTTAGGTCAAATGAAATACCTATCAATCATTATAGGCTCAACCAGTCTTGCTTAAAGGTTGGGCTACCTTTCAAGATCGCGCTGGGAACTGATAAAAGGAGTTTTTGAAACTTAGCAATTGAATATCTATAAACGCATCACAACGGTCAACAAATGTTCAGTCCGCATGAAAGTATTGCTGTTTTGCATGAGATAGGATGCCCCTAGGCACCAGGTCTACTGACTCATTTTGTTTTTAATCCTCCAGGGAATCGAAAACAAAATACTTGGCTCTGCTACCTGCCTCATGCGAACAGGGCTTTAATTAAAAGCTGTCATAGATTCATAGGATGTTCGATGTTATTAAAAAGACAAAAGAAGATCAATCAGAGCGAACACTTTTTTTGAATATATTCCTTTTACCAAATTATAAATCCCACGTCCTCACACGATAATACAAACGTGCACTTTTCGTGTATGATTTGACTCAAAAAAGTCCTTTTTTATTAACGGAAAAAAGTTTTCTATCATTTGTTAATCATTTTTGCTTTGATTCTTTTCCAGGAAGCCATCGACATTGTGAATAGACATGACCAGCAAAAACCACTGTACCTATTGCTGTCGTATACAGCGCCCCATACTCCTCTCCAGGCCCCCCAGACTGATATCGACAAATACAAGTCTGTTGTGGATATGAATAGAAGGATATACTTGGCTATGATTGATGGAGTAGATCAAGGAGTTGGAAAACTTGTGGATGCTTGTAAACGCAAAGGGTAAACCCGTTGTCATAGAGACATGTAACTATGATAATTCAAAACACCGAATCGCACATAGTGATGATGGGGAGGGTTTAAATGTGAAATACTTCCCATGGACCTTTGTAATACTGTAGTCAGTAGTCTCAACTGTTTTGCATCCCCTCCTTTGTGACCATTTATAGTGACCGGAAGTGCAAGTATGAGAGTAAATAGCTATAGTCTCCTTCACGGTTCCCTGTGCCATCTTGAAAGGTAGCCGTGCCTTTGCATCGAAGCAAGACGACCGTTGAGCGTGCAATGATAGAAACCTTCTTTCACAACTACAGACAATTATTCACAGGTTTCTATCATTGCATGCTCAAATAAACGTCTTTGAGGGCCATAACTGACCAATGAGGAAGAGAAATTGTAATGAAGAATTCTTTGTTTTCCATCTAACATGGCGGCTATGACGTAACGTGCAATTCATGAATAGGTTTGCTGCTGTGCGCAATAAATAATAAGCCAACAAAGAAAAAAAATACATGGTAGATTTGCCATCACTGTCGTAAGGCTGTTCATGGCAATAATTCTTTTTTTCTCCTCAGGATGTGGAATGACACGCTGTTTGTTTTTGTTTCTGACAACGGAGGTCATCCAGGATTTGGGGGTGGTTACAATTGGCCGTTGCGTGGTTATAAATCAACTCTGTGGGAGGGAGGGGTCAGAGTGCCTGGTTTTGTCCTTGGTAGCATGATACAGAAATCCGGTGGGGAAATCAATGACCTTATTCACGTGACCGACTGGTATCCAACATTGATTAAACTTGCAGGTTTGTAGTTCAAAGGTTGCTTAGATTGTTGATTGGAATTATTTCAATAACCGTGCATTCTTTTCATCCCTTACAAAGCACCAATAATGCTCCGCTTGCATTGTTTGCACGCATGCGTGCCGTACATAGCCCCTTAACGTCCTGGATTCCATGACATGCGGATTTTGAGGCAACAGTCCGGTGAAATTAACCATCCCTTACAGTATGATCACATGTCTAACAGGAGGAACAACGAAGGATGACAATATAGACGGCGTAGATCAATGGGACGTGTTATCCAAAGGAACCCCATCGACTCGGCAAGAAATCCTAGTTAATATTGACTATGCCCCAGACCTCTCTGGCGAGCAATATAGTCCAAGGGGGTTTACGTATTATTCAGGAGCAGCGATTCGTGTGGGTGACATGAAATTACTTCATAAATGTCCAAACGGTAGCTGGTATAAACTCCCTGAGGACGGCAATCAGGCTCCAACAGAGGAGAGAGTAAGTACATCCTCCAAGTTTTTTTTTTGTTTCTAAAAAGTTCTAACTACCGTTCCTTAATTATTTCCTAAATTATTTGCAAAACATTTTTCTTTTATTATTACATCCACCACGTGTTTGCGAGAAATTCGGAATCTCATACTGACATTTAGGTATTGCTTCAGAAATAAACCGAACATTTTAAAGAAAGTCTTGATGCGAAAGGACTAATCCGTATCCTAGCTCGTATCAGAAAAACTGATAGCTGAGGGCTCCTCGCAATGAATTATGGTTCTTTTTTTAAGTAGTATTTTCAATCTCGAGCCCAGAGTCTTCACGGCTAAAGTCAGCGGTCACGCATTGACTTCCGCTGGATGGCAAAAGTGCGGGCTCTGGGTACGAGATTTTAGTATTTTATAAATAGTATTTTATATGAGGCCCAAATTCAAAGGAAAAAAAGAAATTTAATTAATTTTAAAATGTTCGAATTTTGAAAGAAAAGAGCAGTTCGCAGCCTAATGACATTTGTTGTATTTTTATCTGTTTTTTAGTTTACCAAAGAAAGAATCCCCTACTTTGAGTTTGCTCTTTACAACGTCACCGCTGACCCAGAAGAAAGGTACGAATTGTCAACGCAATACCCAGATATTGTAGAAAAATTGTTTAAAAGACTGAAATATTACAACTCAACCGCTGTGAAAAGTCGTTTACAGCCCGAAGATCCAGAAAGTTTACGAATTGCTGCTAAATATGGTCGATGGGAACCATGGAAGAATGAAGGTGAAGTGACGTCGACGGCTGGTTCTATATACTGCTGGCTCACTAGTAGTCATTGGTTTATTATTTACTTATATTTCTTTGTCAATTAATCCTGATTTAACGCATAAACGAAATGTTCTTCGCCATGCATCTTAAGCTTTTTTTTTGTACATTTCACGTACTTCCGTCTCTTGTTTCAGCTTATGCACTAGTCAATTGAAATCCCCGACCCCCAGGGCTATCGGGGCACTCCCGGGAGTCGGGATTTTGAGGAATTGTTTTCGAAGCGGGCAAAGAGCGGGGATTTTAACGCGTGTTTGAACATATGTGAGGCTGGAAACTAGAGGTCGACCATCTTGAGAAATACCCTGAAAGCATTGGTATTCAAGCCTGTTTTTTTCATTTATTTATTTTTCCTTGCATTTCCCGACTACCGGGAAAAATGCCTTCAATTGACTAGTGCATTAATTTAATGGCAGTAACAGATCTGATCATGAGAAAGAGCAAAATAAGTCGAACTTCTTCAATACATCAATAGTTTGAACCCCCCTACAAGAGATGGGGCATGTTTGGGTTATTTGTCTGTGGTATAACCATAAGGGATTCAGAATGTTACACCGGCGGCCGGGATGGCTAACCTAAGAAAAAAAATATTAGGTATATAGCAGTTAGGTCTGCCGATGAAATTTCTTTTGGATGAATGCTCCTTTGGTTATTTGAATGAGTATGAATCCCTATTTTTTACTCGTGAAAAGAACGAAAACAATGAGTCTGAAGTCTTCAACAAAGTTTAAACAACCAGCTTGGCTATTCTATAATAAACGAAGGTCAAAAAGCACTCAGCTAATTAAAGCGACAATAAACCAGCTGGCATTCAGCTTCTAGAGCCGGCTGAATACGTCACTGAATCATTTCAGATCAATTTATCGGTCTTTTGTGTAATTGAGTGTTCAATTTTTGCTGTCGGAAGTCCGTCATTATTTTGCAGAGAGATAGAGAGAGGGAAATACTGAATTTGCTATAAAACACTCTTGTTGAAAGCCTCGCAGAAAAATAACACTTATCTTTCAGCAAAATACTGAAAGAATTCTTACAGCTCTTACTTTGCATCAAATGTTATAACGATATAATCGAGGAATTATTGATATTCCATGTTCAAAAAACAAACAAGGCCACTTAGCCAGGGGAAAGGAAACTGTCGCTGTTTTTTGTTTTGTTTTCATTTAGTTTTGGTTTAAAAAAGGGGCAGAACTTTGAGAATCCTCAGAATACGAAAAACATTTTGCAATAGCTACAAACATCATGTACTTGCTTTTCAGTCGCTGCTAACGAACATTGACGTACGTGCTGCCACTGAAACATAAATCTTAATGGATGTTTCTCGTATCGTTCAGGTAGTTCTATTTGCTGTTCAGTTGTTACTTACCATGTTTGGAAACGGCTTTCTTCTCATGTTACTGTGGAAGTTAAAGCAGACTCGACGCTCAGCGTCCATGAACTTTATCTTCAGCTGTGCCTTAGCAGACTTGACCTCCGCTATGATCAACATTCCTCTTGCCATGGATTATATGATATTAAAGAGTGGAGGCTTGAACGGAACTGTGTCACCAGCTGTTGTGATCTTTATGATACTTTTTCTGATTCCTCTGACATTCAATTCGACTCTTATGATCATGGTCGATCGAATGTTGATCGTCAAGTGTCCTGTAAAATATAACAACAAGATGAAAGTGAAAAAAGCGCGAATTGGCATCGTTTTCATGTGGCTAACAACACTTCTCTTTACCGGCATTATAAACACTTCTCAGATGATCAGTGATCCACCAAGAGTTGATGACAACCCTATTGAATTCATGGCAAGACTTCTAAAATCGGGCGGCTCACTCAGAATACTTTTGCCCATTTGCGCAATTTTCCTTTCAAGCGTTGCTTTTACGACAATGCTTTATCGAGGACTTCAAACGCTTCTAAAAGCAAAGATTAACTCGACAACAGACAACAGCGCGGAAACATTGAGAGCGAAGACACAGAGGCAAATGATTGCATCTTCTAGTAGAACAGCCCTGATAGTGATGATAATCTATTTAGTGTCCTTCTTTCCAGCCATGATTGACGCCCTTTTAAGATTCTTTGAAGTAACACTGCCAATAAGTGAAAGCAACCTAGCATTTGTGGTTCTTTTCTTTGGTCAAATGAGCTCATTTATGAATCCATATGTGTTCATTCTGCGATCTACCGCATTGCGACAGGCTGCAATTAAATTTATAGTTACAAATAGTCGGAACGATATCGTTGTACCCATCCACCGAATTAGAAGATGATAAGAGGAAAATCCCATTAGAAAGTTAAAAGAAAAAAGAAAGGAAATTTTCACTTCATTGAACCCAAGTGATCGCAACATTTAAATGTCATGTTGTGAACATTGATATCATCTTAACTTGTGTGTTTGACTTAGTCTTGGAAAAAAAGTGTTCGGCCAGGGCAAAGTGATTTTAATCCGGTTAATGAATAACGTTCCTGGCGAGACAGCAGTGGCTGGTACAACAAGGACAGCGGTAATAAATTCAGCAACAACCGCTTGAGAGTTTGAGTAACGATCATTTGGATGAATTTCGTAAAATCAAGTGCTTTTTAGTGTCTAAGAGGACATTTGAGTGTATATTTCAGATAAGTAAAACTTTTTCTAAAATACTTAGGATACTACGCGCGCTGTGATTGGTCGAAAACCATGTTTGATTACAGTATCAAAACACGCTCGTGCGCGTCAAAAATTTCTTTTATTCTTTTAATTTTAGAAAAGAAATAAAAGACGAAATTCCGTGTTTGATACTCTGATCAAAACACTTGGGATGTAGGGAGAGCACTCGTAAAGCTGGAAACCACTCCGCTACGCGTCGTGGTTTCCTACGCTTCTCTCGTGCTCTCCCTACATCCCGCGTGTTTYGATCAGAGTATCAAACACGGAATTTCGTCTTTTATTCCTTAAACAATTTATTATCGACTATCTTTTGTTGGATAAATTAAGCAATTTTTGGATCTTATAGGTCATAATTTCAGTTCTAGCGCCCTTGAACTGAGTAATTTTTTTTTTTAGTTAAAACTGAGTAACTCAATCCGCCTATTCTACCGCGGGAGATTTTCATAGAAATTATAATCATTACTCCTTATCCTCCTTATGTCTGTTAGATTGTAAATGAATAATAATGAGACTTCATTGTAGTAGTATTGGGGAAAGAAATGAAATGTAACAGTATATTTACATACCCTATAGATACTTTTGTAAATAATGTGAGCTTGGGCTGTCTGTGGTTCCTGTAGAAGAGACGAGAGGAGACTGGGGCATAAATTACGTGTTGCATGTTTGGAACCTTTCCTCGGAAGCTTTGAGAAACAAGAAGTAGCTAATTTAAGTAAAGCTTCTGGTTTTCCTCTGCCATGAGGAGTGTTATAATACTGGCCGTAATTGGCCTTGTATCTGTAGCTTTTGCAGACGAAAAGGCAGCTGAAGAGACGAAGAAGGCTCAGGTTGTTCGTGCTAGACTCGTGGTAAGTGCATGCTTTCGTTTATGAATTGGTCATCTTTTGTTTCTATTTCACAAATGTGTTTCAACACGATTGTTGTTTCATGGGTTTTCACACGACTATTACTCGATCTATGTTAAAAATCTTGTAAAGATGTATTCTTCATTTAACACTAGTGCCTATATATGCATAGACATCTAAGCTTAACTTGATATTATTCTTGTTGGGAGCTACAGTAGTGTGGTGGACTTTTTAACTCTACATCTAATCATTTCAATAATTTATTAAAAGAGCTATTAAACTTTTAAACTCTTTTTGACTTCACCGCTTTATCGATTGAATATTGGATATGAACTTTTCACTTTGAAGAGCGCGCGGTCGAGGTTCTTTTGACTCTTCCGGCCATGCATGTCTCTCTTGGTCATTCCCGATTGCTTTTCACAAAATGTTCTTTGTTTTAAATGTATTTACATATTCTCATGTACTCTTTGAATTATTAATAATATTTCACTATAACTGGTTTCAAGAAAAAGACAAAAATAAATAAAAAATAAGAAATTTAAATACATGTTGATTTATAAGCTTATGTGCATTGATGTACACATTTTAGAACTATGGAATAATAAAGAAATAGAAAATTCCGTTGTATTGTTTAATTTAAATATTCTTATGATTTTGTGTAATATCACGGTTTTTATTTTGTTTTTATTTCCAGACATGTGGCGGATGACGATTGAATAGCCTTCCTGAGGTAATTACCTTCACTTTTTATTTTATCATATATAACTTCCTTAAATATCTGTGAAATATTAGGTTTTCTAAGACAAAACAAAAAATTTACACTGATACATTGCCAATTCTTTGGTGAAAATATGTGTTTATGCGCCAATATTTAATTTTTTTTCATCTGCAGGTGAAGGCATTCTTGTTCGAGGACCTTGGATATTAATATCCTTGTCAAGCAATATTTGCTAAAAATTATACTATTTCTTTTTTGCTTTTGAATGCTCTGAGAGGTGTCATGATTTGTCCAAATGCTGTTAGTTTGGCTTCCCATTTTTCAGTAAAGAAGTTAAATTTCTCATTTTAAGCTCACGCCAATACTCGGACATTGTCCTATTGTGTGCTGCAAATACTGGTATTTGGCACAAAACCAGGCAGACATTTCATGACAGGTTGGGTTCAGGCAATTAGGTCCAGAAAGTCCATCAGTGGTGTTTGGTCAGATTTCCATGATTCCATCACTCTTGTTGATATGAAATAGTACATTAATACATTTCTGCTCTTTTTTAATTATTTGATAGAATAAATTCCTTAACTGTTATTAATCATGATGCTAGAGTGAAATACTCACCTGGGGCTGATCCAGTCATGCATCTTTATGATAATGAAGGCAACGAAGTCAAGGTAGCTTTGAAATTTAGATAGCATGTAGTTTTGCACAAACTGTGTGGTCATTACACTGAGCTCTATGAATCACAAAACATTGTTGCATTGAAATGGAGTTTTGGTGGTGAGTTTCACTATCATTTCAGGGACTACAGTAAACAATCTAACTCAATTTATAATAATTTTACAATATATACATAATACTCGACTCCTCCGTCATGCCAGATGAAGTGTAGTTTTGATTAAAAAGTAACAAAAATTATCTCTCTCTTTTTCATCTTACAGAAAGTAGATGTTGCTGAGATGAGCAGAGGTGATATTGCAAACCTATTAGAGTCACATGGTTTGAAAAAGTCTGACTCAAAAATGAAAGAGGAAGACCAATCAGAGGAAGAAGAAGAAGAGCCAATGCCTGAAGATGAAAATCCAGATGGCGAGTTTCCTGACGAAGAAGATGATGAGATGCCGGAGGTTCCAGAGGATCGTAGTGCAGAGAAGGAAGAGTTATAAGAATTTTCTCTCCATCCACATTGTCTGAATAGTTTTCTAGAAAATATTCAATTGAGTCACAAACTGGTATATAGGGCCAAGTGTACATCTTGTTTCGTAATCCCAAATACTACTTCTTTCATACTCTAGTGCTCTCTATCACTCTCAATAGCATTACATTGTAGATGCACAAGTAGCCACAGGTTTTGTCACAGCCAGACTTTGTTTCTTCATCAGAGCCATCATCTATCATGATAAACATGTCCTAACTTAAAACGTCTTCACTATCTTAGTATTAGGCCCTCTGATCAATAATTCAATTCTTGGAAAAGGATTTTAGAAAAAGATATTTGTTCAAAGTTTATCTAAAAAGTGACTGATTTTCTATCACATCAATAAAGAAAGGATTGGGTGTTACTGCAATTATGTTTTTGTAGTAAATCACTGTTTTTATTATTATATAACTAGGAGGGTTCTGTTAAACATTACCTGTCTATTTACTGCTAATTCTGGCTGTGATGAGGCACTGTGAGTCAGTGCAAACCAATTTTTTTTTAATGTTTGTTATAAACTTAGTAACATGTACACAATTTGCTATGCAAAATTAATATTCAAAAAGTAGACCCTGCTGCTTTATTATATATATTAATTATTATTACACCAATATTGCTGAATTGGTTTATGTGAATTGAAGGCTGATGTAATGACGTGGGAATGGTAAACCAATCTTCCGTACTCACTGATGTAAATTCAATCTAAATTCATTGTAAAACTACACAAAGCTTACCAAGACAGGATGACACAATCATTGTAAACACTGTAAAAACAATGGTTGCTGATGAAATAATAGTTTCTGGTATCTTTGGGAGAAAATGTAATGAAGCAATAATAAAAGTACTTTGCAGCAATTTTTGTATTGCTTGGTTAATTTTCTACTTACAATGGCTACACTCATGAGTTTTTCATTTTTAACTCGAAGATTGCGAAGCAATCGAAGAGTTATTGGAGGGGGACGAATCTGTCACTCACTCAATCACTCACTCACTCACT